TTTACTAAAAGGATTTTATGCTCTGGTGGGAGCACACTCCCCCTTTGCTCGCCCACCAAAACCCACTTGGAGTATTTTCAAGCCATGTATCTCTTGAACCTAGTGACTAACTTCGCAAAAAAAAAAAATCTATCATATACTAGATATTCTTGAATAAAATAATGCTCCAATATTGTTCAGGACAAAATCCAAGTGTTGAAGAACTCGATATTAAAAATTTTTGTGAAAATAACGAATATTAATAAAAAAAAAAATTCTCTACAGCACTATTTTGTCAAGAAGTTCACAGCAAGCTCGTGAGAACATACTACAAGAACTTTATTAATTATGAAATAAGGATGTTCAAAGCTCAAGGCCAAACAACCGAGTGGGGTGGCAACAGGCTGGTCCTTGACCAGCCACTATTGGCCCTGGCCCAGGCCCTAGTCCCCATAGGGCCGTTATAGACCCGGCCTACCCATGACTAAGCCAAAAAGGCCCTGGCCTAGGCCCAGCAGGACTAGGCTAAATAAAATTAAAAACAAAACAAAAGAAAAAAAATAAAATAAAATACGGTTGGTCAGCCTTACCCTCAGGCTGTTGTTATCTGAGTCTAACCCAGCCCTCAAGCCACATTTTATGGCCTAAGCCCTAATCCTTTTGGACTGGGCTGAAGGCAGGCAGGTCGACCCGGCCCATTGCCACAGTTAGAGTTCAGTCTTCTAAGAAGGTTTGCTCCCTCGGGCACCGAAATCTTTTCCGTGCACCGAAGAGGATGTTGGAACTGGTGGGTATTTTGGTCATTATTAAAACTTACCGAGGATACTTTAGTCCTATCTTATTACTTTAAGCCCACATTCGCGCCCTTTCCCTCGCATGACCATAAGCAGCATGCACAGTGAAATGAAGGCACAATAAATGAAGGCTTTATTCAGTCAAAGGAAGAGAACTCTCTCTCTAAATTTTGTAAGCATTCACTGTCTCTCATCCCTCTAGAAACGTGCCCTCAAATTTATTTTTGTCTTTGTCTACAACAGAGAGCACCGTTCAAATCACTCTCACTACAAGCCATTAGCCCCTTGTCAACTTACTCCCAGTCTAGGACTGCGGGTAGAACTAAAAAAAGAAATTATAAAATACATCTTAAAATGAACTATCGATGCAACTTACTTCTATTTTAATTTTTTTTCACACTTTTTTCTTCCAAAGAACCTTTCCTCGCAAAACCGCCCCAACCCAAAAATAACATAAAATAAGACTAAAATACGCTCGTTTCTTTTCACATGGCCTTCGGCTCCGGCAATGGAGGACCACTCGCTGGCAGTCCTAATGTGCACTCTGGTAATCACAATGTGCGCTCCGACAGTGCTTTGTTTAACCTGCATTGTTCCGGCAAACAGAGAACTGCGCTCCGGCAGTGATACTGCACGCGCTCCAGCAGTCCGCTCCGGCAATCTGAGAATGCGCTCCGACACTGAAAACACACACTCTGACAGTTCGCTATGGCAATGTAGTACTGTGCTCCGGCAGTGCTTCTTGACATTCCACTTTGGCAATAGTATACTGCGCTCTGGCACTACTTTATTTGGGATCGTGAATTGATTTGGTTTGTATGAAAATGGCATTTCTGTCAAAATATTAAGAACTTTTTACCTTGGAGGGTTTTGCGATGAAAGGTTGTTTGGGGAAAAAAATGTGAGAAAAAATTGGGGTGGGTGTAAATTGCATAAATAGTTTATTTTAAAGTGTATTTTGTAATTGTTTCAAAAGAATAAAAAAATAAAAAGATAGGGGCCAAGCCGAACGAAGCGAGCCCATGCCCAACTCTCGGGCCACATTTTGTCTCCAAGATCTTAGTTTTTAGAACCTAGCCAACTAGGGCTGGCTCGGCCATCTGACTAGGGGGCGGAAATGGACCAGACCCGAATGGTATACCTGATCCGGGTCCAGGTATGGATAAAAAATTGGACCCAGCAGATCGATCTGGATCCAAGTCTTGGACTCGAAAGCCATTCCGTCCGGGTCCAGTCGGCCGATAATACGTTTTGAGTCCCTATATGACATACATTGAAATATAATTCAATACATAAATGTTCTAATTTTTGTGTCCTATCCAAGTCGTTGTTTTTTATAAACCCAAACCCGACCCGTTGCTTCCCATTCTTATGCCCAACACAAGTGGCGTAGCGAAAGCAAGGTAAATGGGGGCTCTTTAATTTGAGTCAAAAGAGAGTCAACCTCTCGTCCCTCCAGACAGCAGAAAACGGTGTCCGAAGAAGGCTCTCTCTCTCTAAAAACGGTAAGTACTGTACAAGTGTCATGCTTACTCTTTATTTCTTCACTCACTATGGCAATGTTTTTACGATTTTGTTTGTTTCGTGTCTCTTTTCATAGCTGCATCTTGCTTTATTGCAGCCTTGGATTGCAATCACTGACACTATATTCTCTTGCTTTCCATCAAGGCCCACTTTCTCTTTCTAGACTTAGGGTCCTGTGCTTCCTTCGCATTTTTGTGCTTTGGGGTCTGTGTAAACATGAGAGAGATGCTTCATGGAAGCTACCGCTTTCTTTTCGCTCTCTGCTTTTCGGGTTTGAAGCAATGAGATACAGAGAGAGTAGATTTCTCTCTCGAAACATATTGGGTTTTGGGTTTTTGGCGAAGATAGGTTTCGTTTTGGAGTGGGGAGAAAGAAATGGTTACTGATATTTTCTCTCTCAATCATTTTAGGGTTTGCGTTTGTGAGAAGCTGCTTGTTTTCTCTTACTGGTTCCTTTTTTACTGTAACAGTGCATTTCTCTCTCTAATGGAGTTCTGAAAGTATACAGAATGGTTGCAGGCACTTTCTCTTCTCTTCATTTTGTGACATTTGGTTTCTCTCTCTAACTAGTGCAATAGAGTGATGGGTTTTTGAAATACATGTAATAATCACAGAGGTTCTCTCCATTTCTTCATTTTGTGGCATTTTTTTATTTCAGATGAAGCTCTGAGCACATGGACTTGTAGGTTTATCTGAAGAAAAAAGAAAATGGAAGAAATACAAGCTTCTTCAGATCATTATAGATCTTCATCTTCATCCGCAAGTAGCCCTGCGACTAGTAGGGTTCCATCAAGTTCATTCTTCTATCTGAGAAAACCAGGATCAAGCAAGCAACCCATTTCATTTGAGGACTCTCCAGAATGGGAAGATGCAGAGACTGATCATCCACGACGCGAAGAAGATGCAGGCGATTCAATTAATGTGGAAACCATGTCTCCTTCTCTGTCTAAAATCAACAGTGGATCTGTTCCCTCTCCTCCATTGCAGGGGACTTCGACGCCTGTTCGGAGGATAGCAGGGGCTTCTCTTGTTTGGAAGGACCTCACTGTCACCATAAAGGGGAAGATGAGGTACTCTGATAAGGTTGTGAAGAGTTCTAATGGCTATGCTTTGCCTGGGACCCTCACTGTGATAATGGGTCCTGCGAAATCGGGGAAGTCGACATTATTAAGGGCGATTGCAGGTTTGGTTTCTGGAGTTGTGTGTGTGTGTGAGAGAGAGAGAGAGAGAGAGAGAGAGAGAGAGAGAGAGAGAGAGAGAGAGAGAGAGAGTAGAGAGTAGTAGAGTAGAGTAGTAGTAGTAGTAGTAGTAGTAGTAGTAGTAGTAGTACGTAGTAGTAGTAGTACGTAGTAGTAGTAGT